CCCTGCTGCATGGCAGCCGTGCGCCTGGGAGGGAGGACAGCCCTGGCTCAGTGCTGGGTGCCTGTGCTCCCTCAGTCTGACAGTGCCCACCAGCCCAGTTCACCTCTCCCGCTGGCTGCTGCCGCACAGCGTCTCTCCTTAGAGGGCAGCGGGTGAGCCAGAGGCAGGGAAAGTTGGCATGGGGATGGGGAAGGGAATTTAACGTTCCAATTTGGCCACCAAACCTGCTCCCACTGCCTGCTCAAGTGACCTGCTGTTCCACAAGTGGCCGGAAGCAGCCACTGCTCCCAAAACAAGCCAAGTGAAAGATGCAGGCAGCAGGATACCCCCATCCAGGCAGGGATGGGCACCGTGATGCAAAGTAGGATGGAGGTCCCTACTCAAGGATGCGCTCCCGCAGGTGAAACAGAGACAGGGAGTCCAGGCTCAGTGAACTGACCACCTGCAAGGAGCAGCACTGCTGCGTCAGCTCCATCATGACAAGTCCTGCTGCAGCCTCAAGGGACAAAGGACAAGACATGGCTGCAAGCAGAGAGGGCCTGCACGAGTGAAATCCCCCTGCCCCAGCACGCACAGGCACACAGCCAGCACTGCAACAAGGACGGATGAGGCTGCGCTGGCAGAAAATCTGGGGGAGATGGGCTGTGCCAAACTTCGGGAGGTTCGCTCTGCCATGGTGAGATCTTTCCCAGCACTTATTGCCCTGCTGTTGAGGATGGCAGCCCACATAATTTACAGCGTCCCCAGCCAGACCCTCTACTCTAGCTGGGAAAGCTCATACGCAGTGTAAGGACATTTACGGGCAGTAGGATCCGCGTTAGCAGCCGGAACCATTGCCCAGGAAAAAACACACGGACACCAGCAGATTGCAAACAAGCACATGATGACTTTCAGCAGGCTCTTCCAAAAGACAGACAATGGAGATGCTGTCCAATGACTTAAGAGATTCCAGGACAAATCATTTACAATGGAAAAACAAGAAAATCACAGAGCAGGCAAAACACTGCTGTAAGGGAAAGGGGAAGGGAGTAGAGCTACATGCAGGGAGTTCCCACAAGGTGTTTGGCTTTGTGTTTTGCTGAAGGTGGGAGATGCCAGATGTTCAGTCAGAGTCGGAGCTGCTGCTTGAGCCACTGGAGTGCTGGAGGAGAGAAAACAACTTTAGGGCACCAGCGAAAAGACCCTCTTTCACAGCATTCCTGAGAGGTGTTAGTGACCCCGTCGTGGCTGCCCCATATTGTGGGAGGCTTGGGGGGTGTTTCTTAGTTTTTTTCAAGGCTCTTTAGGTCAATAAAGCAAATTCCAGAAGGGTCATGCTCTCTGAAAGCAAGGGCAAACGTCAGAGCAGATCACGGGCAGAGCTGTTTCCCAGTGGAAGGAGCTGATGGCTTGATTTGTTTGGGAAATGCAACCACCTCCAATGTCAGAACTGGGAGTGTGTTTAGCAGTTCCTCACTCAGACCTGCTCTGGATGATGCCCATCCCTGTAATAGCCTTTTCCGCAGAATCTACTCGTAACACAGGGAATTGTTTCCCCTCTTTTGGTTTTGTTTTTTTGAGGTTTTTTTTTTGTTTGCTTGTTTGTTTGTTTTAAATTTCTTTGCTTTTTGGGTTGTTTTGGTTTTTTTTTTGTTTTTTTTAAGAAGGAATTGAACAGTTCCTCTGGCAAGACACTGAGTGAATGTCCATTAGAGAGACACAACTCACCCTCAGATGAGAAGGACAAGTCCTGTGATTCAGTGCACTGCATGGTGCACCCTGAGCCACATCACTGCTTTAAATGCCTTCAAGGAATTTCATGGACTGTTTTTCAAATTACTCACTTAATATGGTTTGTTCTTGCCTATTTATTAATACAACAGGAGTTTCCATGTCTAAAAAAAAGACACTGTGGTTCTCCAGCCACCACAGGGTGGGAGAGGAGAGTCCCAGCTGTCCAGGCTGGATGCTGTGTTGTGGGGGAAGGGGGCCTGAAGGACCACAGGAGAAATCTAGAAGGGTCTCTTACCGCCTCACTCTTACCTTGTCTCCATGGTGCTTGGAGTGCTTCTCTTTATGGTGCTTCTTATGGTGCTTCTGATGGCCGTGAGGTGGTCCTGGATGGGGGTGCCCATGGGGAGGATGCCCATGGCCAGGTGGAGGGGGGCAGACTGCAGGGCCACCAGGGCAGGGACCTGTGCCAGGACCAGGATGTCCTGGAGGACCAGGAGGGCAAACTGGATGGTGTGGTCGTGGCATGCCTAGGAAGAAGAGGAGAGCTGTTAGCAGGCAGACACAGGCTCTCCCTGGACAGACAGTACAGGGAGCTGGTGTATCCATGCACCCAAAGGGCCCCTCCCAGTCTACCTCCTCCTCACAAATGACATCCCACATGCCTCTGGTATGCAGGGAATCCCCCCAAGTGCCTGTGGCCATCGCCCTGAGCTCCTCTCTGAGCCCTGATGGCTGTGTGGTACCCACAGTCCTGTCTGGCTGTGTGGTACCCACAGTCCTGTCTGGCCCCATGGTCCCTCACCTTGGTGGGGGTCACACATCCTCAGTGGTCTGTGAGCTGAAAGGGAAGGACAAGCACCATCAGTCACCTCCTGCCACAGGGACATCACTGCCCGGCCCAGAGCTGGGACCTGACTCCTCTGGCCCACACATCTGCCCTGGGAGCAGAGACTACGCTCGCTTCCCCAGGACTGCCATCCCCCTGCACACCCCGATGACAGCCCTCCTGTCCCTCTGGGGGAGAGCACCAACCCCCAGAGCCACTGTCCACACCTCCAGGCACACCCAAAGCCCAGCCTGTGGTTTCCATCGTTAATGGCAATAACAAACCTGGGTGCCCAGCTCATGTCCTCATGGACCACAAGGACTGGGGACACGTGTCTGGTCCAGCAGCACCCATGGGGACAGCGCACCCTGACCCCTGGCTGCCTCCGCTCCAGCTGCCCCCGTGCTCCCCGTTGCCCTGCACTCACCAAACCTGCCCAAAAGCTCCCAGAGGAGGCGATGCTGGCAGCACTCTCGATCACCGTCCTTGGCACGGTTCTAACCAGGCTGTCAGGCACCTGTTAAATACCACGTCCCTCCCTGGTGAGGAGGGGTGTGGTGGGCAGAGGTGACACTGCCAAGCAGTGAACCCAGCGCCACCTCGGCCATGGCCATCATTTGGTTGTGTAAGGAAAGTCAACACACCACTCCCAGCCAGCACAAGGGTCCCACATGTAATAAAACACATAAAACGGTCCCACATATAATAAAAACAGATGATGCAGGGTGGTGATTACAGCTCCCGACGTCAGCTGATGGAGTGAGTCAGGTGACCCCACCATGACCTCGGGCTCAGTGCTCCCAGCACAGGCACAGTGTCCAGGGACAGGGGTGACCCTCCCACAGATGGTGCTGTGGGACAGCAGGGTAGGGATTGTGACTCCCTGTGACACTGCTTAGGGTTTCTGCTGTGGTGTGAGGTGGAGGAGGTGATATGTGCTATCACACCCGTCAGCAGGGACAGGAGGCAGGGCTGGCTGCCCCAATTTTCAGATCTTCCTCTTAGGGGGGGATCTATGGGGAGGGAATAGAGTTCTCCCCATTCCGTCCCATCCCAATCCATTCCATCCCCATCTCCCTGCTAACACCCCTGATGGTGCTGCGTGCTTGGCAGTGCTCCTTTTCCAGGCAATGCAACAGGCTGGAATTGTCACACACCACCAAAAAGACACTTTGCAGAAAGGGACTAGGCCAAGTCTTGCCCCACATATAGGGTAGGAGAGTGCTTTGTGGGGTTTCTGGGCATAAAACACAAGAGTGTGCAGGCTCAGGAAGTACCCATGCACAAGCACCCCTCACGGGCAGTCCCACTGGGTCCCCGCCACCCCCTTTGTTAAGATCCCTGTGATCCCAGGCAGTGCCAGCCCAGTCATCTCCTAATGTCCCAGTGATGGGGGGAAGGAAGTCTGGAGTCCGAGACCCAGACAGCAAAAATCCCCCTTGGCCAGGGAAAGGGCAGCAGGGAATGTGACACTGGGATCTTCAGAGGCCGATAGCAAAAGAGCAACACAGGGACAAGTTGGTTTCCCAGCTTTATTTGCCACTGTAGACCTCCCAGACCACTCCCAAGCCCTCCTCAGGCCACCCGCTTCTCCAGCAGTGCCAGCACGAGTGCTGACCCTTGCTTTGCCTCTTCCAGCAGCCCGGAGACCTTCTGGGACATCTGTGTGGGGGCAAGATGTGTTGTTTACTGCTCAACAGAACACAGGAGCCATCCACCATCCACCCCACGCATCCCAGGCAAAGGGAGGGAGTGCCCGGGCACGAGTAGTCCCAGGGGCTTCCTCTCTGTCCCACCTCAGCCCCACCACCAGGCCTGGGGCACACACACAGCCCCTGCTTATTACCACAAGCTTGAACTTCTCATCCGTTATGTCTTTGAGGTTGATCATGACATTGAAGTAAGCTCCAAACACAGCTGCTTCCAGCATTTTGGCTCCCACCTGGGAAAAGACAGGCTTGCGAGCAGCTCTCCTCATCAACCAGCACCAGCACACTGTGCTGTAGAAGGGCAGACCCCTTACCCTGCAGGACTCCCACCCTCACACCCAGCGGCACAGAACGCTTTCCAATCCGGTGGGATTCTCAGGAAGTAGCTCAAGCAGTGGGAAGCATTGCCACACACAACAGGAAACTCAAGCAAGGGCTGGTGGAGGTCAACTCTCCTACAAGGAGCTTTTTTTGCAAGCTGGCAAATAGTGGGTGGAAAGCACTGGGCCACTTTGGGAAGCACAGCTGGACAGATGCTCCCTGTAGGTCAGGACATGAGGACACCTTGCAGGGCAGAGTGTGAGCCTGGGGCCGTACCTGGATGTCGGATTTGCAGGCCACGTTGCAGTGTTGTGTCAGTTCCTTCAGAGCAGGCCAGAGCCCACTCACCTTCTCTGCCAGGGC